CATTTATTTCCACGTGCAGAAAATAGCTAAGATTTAGTGGATCTAGTTCTGAATTGGTAGAAAATTTGAAGGGGACAACTCTCTATCATTTAAATCTGTACATTAATTGATAATAGGCTATGATAATTTGTTGGTTGTGGAAAGCCAATACCAAAGAGGTTGAAAAAGTTTATTTAAAACTTTTGCATAATTACTGTGGAAAAAATGAAGAAAAGTATGTGGAATGGAATTGGAATGTATGTACTGAAACTTTTCTTTCTGTGGATATTAAGAACTATTACCCTTTCTGTGAATATTAAGGACTATTACAGCTACAAGTCATATTTATATGGGTGATTTTCTTATTCTCTACCCCTGTACTGCAATGGTATGCAGAATCTCTTGTGATATATGAATACTGCTTTAAGGTAGAGTAATACTTCATAATCAGATCTCATAACAGGTGTTTTTTAAATGTGCTGGTATTATGGCTTTAACTCAGGGCCTTTGCTCACTGGCTTTTACCACACAAGGGTGACACTCTACCACTTGAGCCAGACCTCCACTTCTGGCTTTTTAGGTGGTTAATTTGAGGTAAGAATCTTGAAGACTTTTTTGCTTAGGCTGGCTTCAAACTGATATCCTTACATCTCAGCCTCCTGAATAGCTAGGATCATGGGTATAAGCCAGCAACTCCCTGAAATTATTTGTCTATGTGAAAACAAAACAAAAGCCATTAGTGTCTTATGAATATGGACATTCCTGATGCACTTATAGTGCATTTTAGAGTATCATATTTTGGCAGTTTAGAAACTCTCCTCCTTTCTGTTCCCCTTTTTTATGCCATAAGTGTTTGAGCTGGACTCTTACACATGTCACTCCAGATTCCTTCTTTCCTTGGGACTTAGTCCTCACCCACCTGCTGACAGTGCCTGGCCTCTGTCTCTCTGCTAAGATTTCTACACAGAGTGCTGCATGATGTATATTTCATTAGCTGTCCTCAAACTTGGCCTGGACCACAGAGAAACATCTCTGTCTTTTTCAGGCCCCATTAGGTAGCTAGCAGGCAGTAGGAGCCAAGTAAAGTTGTTTTTTAATCAGAAGGAGCTATTTATATAAGTCTTCGGAGGTGTGTTGCACAGACCTTAAGGGTGATAGTCTTTAGGAAGGGAATAGAAACAAAGGTAGGAGAGTTTTAAGTTCCCTATCCCTTCCTACTCCTCCTCTGACTTCCTCTATCTCTTCACTCTCTCTGCATTTTCTTATTTTTCTCTCTTTGACTAGCACATCCTGTTCCTCAGTCCACTGGGAAAGAAATGGTGAGAGCACAGGTCAAGTTAGCATGACTTACTCAGAGACTGATCTGAATGCCTCCAGTTCTCAATTCTTCAGGTATTCATAATGACCAGCACTGTAGCTAGGAGTTGGGTCAGGCATCTTGCTTGAGATTCTAACTGCCACCTTTCCCTGCATTTATGTTCTTTGGGCTCTAGGTCCAAATGTAAAATAATCATAGTTGGTGTTAACTCATGTCACACTGAAACCTTGTGAGCTCTGGATGCTTTGTATCTCCCCTTCTACTTCATACAGTAAAAGGGTAAAATTTGATCAATCCATTCAGTAAGGGACCATTTATTGTATCCTACTTTGTTCCACACATAAAGGACATATACTTGTCAAACAGAGGTTAGTGTTGGGTGTGGAAGGAACCTAAAATCTAAGCAAGCAACTAAAATATACCAATAAGGAATGTCCTGGGTGCCATAAAGAAATGGAGTTGGAAAATAATGTGAAACAGGTGAGGAAACTGCTTTAGAGATGCTTTTCTGTGGAGGTAAGATTGGAAGCTAATATCTAAAGGATGAGATGGAGTGGATAGAAAAGGATCAAACTGATGGTATTTAAGGAAAAGAAAATCTCATTTATAAACATAGTGAGGGTGTGGTAGAAAAAGTGTGAGAATAAGACTTGTAGGTCAAGAGTTTGGATTTAATCGCAGTTGTAACTATAGTAGAAAAACATCATTAGTCAAGTTGCTGGTGTCATATAGTCCATTAAGGAGTCTTATTTAGCCTTTAATTTATGCCAGACCCCATTCTGGTTTACAGAGAAGGATTAAAAAAAATAAGTCAAATCTATAATTCGACTTTGATTTTGCTTATCATCTAGCTTTGGAGGCCTGGCTGACTATGGAAAGTCAAGCCTCATTTAGAAAGCAGTGGGGGCTCCAGGCAGCCAGAGGACTAATGACCTTGAGTCTAGTGATCACTCACATTCCAGAGCTAAAGGGCCATGGCTGTTTGTTAAATAGCTTACATTGGGCTGAGGAGCTGAGTAGAACCTCTGCCACGTGTGCCCAAACTCTAAGCATTGTTCAAATGTCTGCTCAAGTCAACCTTTAGTGACCCTGTGAGATAAAAGTTGTGATCCTCATTGTTCAGACAGAGACTGAAGCACAGATACCTAAATAACCTTGCTTGAGGCCACACAACCAGTAGTAGTGAAAACAAGACTTGACACACAGTGTTCTTTTGGGAGAATCAGCTCTGACCCATCCTGCAGTGAGGCCACCCTGCTGCCATCTTGATAGACAGCTAACACAGGGCTGCACATGGTCATAGAGCTGGCTTCCGGAGGTTTGACTGGGGATGGTGTTAGATGCATTGCTTTGATAGTAAAAACAAGACATGAAAAACAATGTGAAAACATACTCCATGTGCTTCTAGGAATCCACAAAGAGATCTTGGTTGTTCCTTGTTCCTATGTACTGACTTAGAGGCAGAAATGAACAATTCTGGATCAGTCAAATTTATCTGTTCATCACTTTTTATCAGGATATTAGTTTCTCATAATTCTTACACTTTTCTCATGATTCCGTTACTTCATGAACCAAAGGTTGAGAATACCTTATTTAAGATACTTGCACTTAGCAATTGGTCTGTTATAATCCCCTGCTAAGAATATCATAGATACATTCTACTTATTACAAATGAGGGAAACCATGAAACCTATATTTCTTTGGGCCTGGCTTGCTTTGCTTAATGTGATTTTTCTCAGGTCTTTCCATTTCCTTGTGAATGGGCAATGTCATTCTTATGGAAGCATAGAACTCCATTGTGTATATATACCACATCTTCTTGATTCATTCATCTATGGAGGAGCATCTGGGTTGGTTCTATATCTTAGATATGGTAACTAATGCTACAGTGAACATGGTTGTGCTGATAGCTTTAGTATGGCCTTGTTTGTGGTCATTTGTGCAAATGCTCAGGAGTGGGATTGCTAGTTCATAGGGGAGCTCTATGTTTAGTCTGATTTCCAGAGTGTTTCAACAATTTAAACTTCCATCAACAGTGTAGTAGTGTTCCCTTTTGGCCACATCACTGCCTGCATCTGTTGTTATTTGAATTTTATGACTGCTCCCACCAAGTTTCTTCTCTTTATGTTTTTGATAGTGGAAGTGATTTTTACATTCACTTTGGAATGCAAAATTAAAAGGTCAAGTGAGCTGGGCGCTGGTGGCTCACTCCTGTAATCCTAGTTACTCAGGAGGCTGAGATTTGAGGATCACAGTTCAAAGCCAGCCTGGGAAGGAAAAGCTGTGGAACTTTTATCTCCATTAAACCACCAGAAAACTGGAAGTGGCGCTGTGGCTTAAATGGTAGAGCACTTGTCTTGAGCTGAAGAGCTGAGAGACAGTGTCCAATCCCAGAGTTCAAGCCCCATGACTGACCAAACCAAAAAAAAAAAAAAAAGTGAAGTTATTTTTTTTAATCTTCATTTTCTGGTGTTTCTTTAATATCAGAAAAGCTTAGAAGGATATGGTTATAGGCTTTATATTAAAAGATGTCCATTTGTGAATGTGTAATTGAAAATATTGTGAGGACACTCAAGACTAAATAAAGTTCTTCCTCTGTTTTAACCTAGTAGTTGTTACTGCTTCATATCTAAACTACCAACTCATGGTAATTTAGTTGCTGTAAAGAGAAATGGAAATGTGTTGAATAGTCATAATCTTTATATCTGTCTTCTAATCTGAAGGCAAAGTACTCTACACATTTGCTTACTATTTTCTTAATGTGATGACTTTAGTTGATCTTTGCTTAACAGTACAAATAATTATGAAGCTCTCAAATAATAGGTTTTTCCTCATTGGTAGGAAAAGAATATGAAATGAATCCAGTATTTTAGCATTATATACAAAATTAACTTCCCTTAGAATTTTTACTCTATTATATATAGGTTATATAAATGTATCATTAGCAATACAAATGAATTCATAACTGATAGGTGATTGTGGTGATTACTTCACTCACTGAGATTTCAGTGAGTTAAACCACTTGACTATGAATTGCTTTCTGATAACTTTTCTCCACTTGATACTAATTCTTTTTAACTTCAAAATGGGCTTTCTGGCAGAGTATAAAGCATTGTCTTTTGCTCTTCTAATACCATATGAAATAAAAGCCAAGGGCTGTGTGTCCATAGCCACCAACAAAATGAACAAGTTATGACAAGAGGCTATAGGACAGAAATCAGCCATGTTCTTATCCTAATCATTAAAATTATATTTTAACCAGTAGAAACAGGTTAAGCCTGAGAACCCAGAACACTGTGGATACTCTGATGGTTGTGAGTTGAAACACTAGGTGACAGCACTACAGTATTTCATAGTTGTTTGTTATTGATCACTTGCATACTGCATAATAAGTAAGGGATTTTACTGTTAAAGACTATTGAATGCCCTGTTGTTTTCCGTGGATGAAAGAACTCACAAGGAATATGAGCTTTTCAAGTCCATAATTTCAGCCTTGATGAGACAGTGATTTAAATAATTTAGCAAAAGTTCCCAGGCTGACTCTATTTGCTTGCATATTTATTGGTTTGATTATTTATTGCTTGCCTGAGGATAGCTATGATAATTGAAAGGATTGTGGTTTCTCTGTTGAGAGAATTTTATTCTCTTATTTGTAAGGATAAATATTTTGCATGCAACATTCATTTCTAATTTTATTTTCCAGGTACTTTGGAAAGACATGAGACAGGAGAAAGAGCAAGAATTATTCTTAATTGTTGCGAAGATTCAAAGCTTCTGAAGCTTGAGCCAGTACTTTCAGTTACCTCAGAAGCAAATAAGCACAAAAGCCTAGAACAGAAATCCTCTAGCTCCCATCAGCTTGGGTCAGTATCCTGCCCAGTTGTTCTACAGGTAGACTCTCCAGGTAAGGTAAGTTCAAATCAAGCTGTTGTACCCCAAGAACATTATCAACTGTTTTTTTGTTTTTTTTATTTAAGGGAAGAGGATTGTATTTGGATTTAGGGATTCACTTTTATAGTTGAAGAATATTTGACCTTTTATAAAATTGCTTATTGCAAAGAAGCAAAAAGTTATCAGAAAAATTAGAGTACTGGATGGACAGTTGTCTTGATTTGGTATCTATAAGATGAGCAGCTTTTGAGGGTTCTGATTATGAGTTACACACTATGATAGAGTCTGCATTTCTTCTCATAAACTGGAGAATCTAAATGAGAAGAAACATGGATTAGCTCTTTTAGTTTTCACCTCTAAACTTGATAATCTGATTCTTTATGAGATTCCTTTCCATCTTTTCATCTTTGTATCTCCAAGTCTCCCCTGAGCATTTTGTACCTGTTATTGATATTCATTATCAATCCTTCATAATACTGTCTTCTATGTATAACTTTTATTTTAATGGCTGAATAAGAAATACTGCTGATAAGAAATACTTGTAATTATGTTTCAGTTATATGAAAAACATATTTATGAACCTAGAATTTAATCCAAAAATTTTAAAAGACATGTTAGCAGAATTTTAAAACCCTATTACATATTACCATTTTCCAAGACAACATGGTATAATGAAAACCATTTAAATGTTAATATTAAGGACATGAAATCAGACCTTATTTTATTTCATTTGTACATTTAGAGTTAGAGGCAAACTGATAGTATTTTTTTAAAAAATGTTCAACTAAAGCTAAGGGTAGTTCCACATACCTGTTAATCCCAGCATTCAGGAGGCTGAGGTAGAAAGATCACAACTTCTAAGCCAGGTTGGACAATTCAACAAAACAGAAATCTAAAGAGACTGAGGACTTAGTTTAGCAGTTGCTGCCTTTCCCCTTGATTTTAGATAATCAAAAATTAAAGTATTTTTTTGTCATGGAACTTGAACTCAGGGCCTGGGTGTTGTCCCTCTGCTTTTTTGCTCAAGGCTAGCGCTCTACCACTTTGAGCCACAGCACCACTTCCGGTTTTATGGTGGTTAATTGGAGATAAGAGTCTCACAGACTTTCTTGCCCAGAATGGGTTCAAAACCCAATCCTCAGATCTCAGCCTCCTGAGTAGCTAAGATTATAGGTACAAGCTGCTAGCTCCCTGATAAAGGTTATTTTTAAAGGTCAATTGTATACAAGCAATGCAATTTTGAAATTTTAACTCTGATCGCTGAACATAAGGTAGGAAATTGAATACTATGAGGTTGGGCAAATAAAACATGCATAGCAAGCGAGCCCAGCTGACTCTTGTGCAATCCATCCAAACACAGATGTGTGGTTCTCTGTTCATACCAGAGTGTGCATTGGGTATTGGAAAGTGTGGACTAGAATGGTGGATGACAGCTGTATGTCCTTTGACCTATACATTTCTAATGGCTAGGGATTGCAGGAACAAATCTCACTCATCAAGGGCCACTTTTATAGGTTTAATACCCAAAGTGCAAACTGGTGCTATTTCTTTGAGTTCCTTGGAGAATCAATCTCAGAGCTACCCCTTAGGTAATGATTATATTATATATAGATTTCATTTTCCGTATATATTTTTGTTTTTTTTTCAGTTCAGGAAGCAAAATGTCTGGGTCATTTTCCTACTTGTAGGTTGACTTTATTTATTTTCAAGTTGGTACCCTTCATCTCAGATAACAATTTCCATCCATTCTTTACTTTCATTTTTATTGTTTTTATTTTTTGATTATTTTTATTAGCACATATTGTTCAGTGTGAGAGGTTTATGGATATTTCCATACATGCATTATAATATACTTGGATCATATTAACCCCTCTGTTATTCTTATCACCCCTTCCTTGTCCCCTCTTTTATCTTTCTTGCACTTTTCTATTATAACCTTTTTATGCATGAATAAAATGCACGATTACCATATTTTCTCCCTCTCTTCTTTCTCTTTCATGGGAAAACACTAAATTAGAGAGGCCAATCATCTCCTTGAGTATATGTCCTATACACTTGTTGTTGAATTTAGTGTTGCCTACTGTTGTTTTTATTTGTGCCTCTCAGTTATATTTTTTTCCAGTTATGTATTCGATTTCTTTATCATCTGTCACATAGGTTTTTAGCTTTTCATCTTAAGAATATTGAGATTATTTTAATCTATTACTTTACAAATTTGTTAAACATAAAACTTCAAAGATGTTGATAAATCCCTTCTCATTATGTGGGGTAGTAAGCCTGTGGAATTTAGAATGTCTAAGATCTGTGTTTATATGTGCATGTGTGTAAGTAATAATGGAACCTGAAAGAATGTTCCCCAACAATAATATAAATAATCTAAACAAAATATCATGTTATATCCACATAGTGAGCTCTTTGTGTTTGTCAGTCCTTAGCTGTCTCTGGAATATGGCATTCGCTTTTTCTTCTTACATTTGAAGAGTGCATACAGTTGCAGGGAGAGGTTTAAAAGAGAATAGAAAATACAGTGAAAGCATTTGGAAAACGGGTCCAATTTGAAATGCTAGGGGAGCTGACACTCCACAAAGAAAAAAAAAATCTTTGGAGAGCGGGAGAGGAGGGTCAGAGTCTTAAAGGATTTAAAGGAATACAATATTATATTGGTGATGGAGAACTGCTTTTCTTAGGTTCAGCTGAGGATAAAACAAGATAGAACCTGTTTAAATTGCAGTGGGATGAATTTAGCTTCAAAGCAGGGAATAAACAGCCTTGCTGAAATCATTTCTACACTTTAGAAATCTTGGCAGCTCATCGTATTTAAGGAGCATGGCTTATGTGGACCACTGGTTGGTTTTAAATTTTTCTGAGTTTTGTGTCTGTAAAGTGAGTTAAAGGATAAGGAAGATCATGTGAACTTCCGCCACTTAGGCTTGTTGGACAACTTGGGTGTGGCCCCTTCTTTCTGCATGGCTGATTTTCTTTAGAATGGGTCTTCTAGCAGCTTTGTCTAAAGCAACAGATATGAAGCACATTTGTCTACTGCACACTCAAACTATGGCAGAACTGTTTGTTGAAATGAGTGTGTTTTGGATATACAGGGTTAAATGAAATATATTTTTTTAGCAGTTTTATTGTCATTAAGTGATTACATAAATTTCACAGATTTCACAGTATTGTGGGATAGGGATACTTAAAGTCACAAACACATTCTAACCTTCATGGTTATATTATAATTTATATTGTATTATTTATAAATTATAATAATTTTGTTTTAATGTATATTGGGCAGTTTATAAATGTGATTTGCATTTTATTTGTATTGAATAATGGTGATCAGGCTAAGGAAATGTAAATTATTTTTTGGTGAAGAACCAGAAACTAGTCGGGCGCTGTAATCCTAGCTACTCAGGGGGCTGAGATCTGAAGATCGTGGTTCAAAGCCAGCCCAGGCAGGAAAGTCTGTGAGACTCTTATCTCCAATAAAACCACCAGAAAACTGGAAGTGGCACTGTGACTCAAGTGGTAGAGCACTAGCCTTGAGCTGAAGAGCTGAGGAACAGTGCCCAGGCCCAGAGTTCAAATCCCACAACCAAAAAAAACAAAACAAACCAGAAACTAAATGTATTAGGCTTTACAGCCCAGATCTTTGTGATTGTACCAGTTTATTTCCCCTATATTGGCAAAAACAAGACAGTCTCTCTTCATAGTTTGTGTAGCAAGGGAAATTCTTTATACAATGATTGTGAAATTACAAATGATGTTACAACCACTTGTGAAAAACATTTGGGGTAACTGCAGTTAGTACTGAAGAAACTATAGACAACTCCTCGACAAAAACAACTGCAATGAAAACAGGAAGTAGGGCCAGAGCTGATACACTGGTCAGTTTGCTCATTAGTGATCTAGATAGTCCTCTCTGGACTGAAAGCTCAGGTGGTACTAGCAGGACCTGGCAAAAGAGTGAGTTACTCCTTCTCCCCTCTCTCCATGTCTGAAATTAATAAAGGAATTTATTCTAATCTTTCATGAACTGGTTGGAATGTAATGCAAAAGACCTTGCATTTACAATGGGCACCGGTGGCTCACATGATCTGAGGATCATGATGCAAAGCCAACCAAGTCAGAAAGGTCTATAACAGTCTTATATCCAGTTAACCAGAATAAAGCCAGAAATAGAGATGTAACTGAAGTGGTAAAGAGTTAGCTTTGAGTGAAAAAGTTAAGCAAGGGCATGAGGCTCTGAGTTCAAGCCCCCGTACAAGCATATATACAAGTATATACACATACACACCAGACTACCGTGTTCCAAGGGCAAGTGTGCATGTCAATTTATGGGTACACTACACATCAATCAAGATGCATTGTATTAATACATTGACATGTTGAATTAAGGCCCCTTTGTAAAAAAAATGAATTATAGTTTTTGTTAAGAGAGCAAGCATACTTGGTGCAAGTTCAATAAAAAAAAAAGAAGAATTTGTATTTAAACCATCCTTTGCGGAAAAGCAAATGTGTAAATATAGTTCCCAACTGAATTATGTTGTTGTTGTCTTAAGTAAATAGAAATTTTCTTTAAGTAGTACTCTTGTACATCTTTATCTAAATGTATGCAATTGATTACAAATAATACATTTGCATTTATCAACATTTTTAACCTTTATCTGACCCTACAGTGATACCTTTTTTATGTTATTTGCTGAAATACCTTACTAGAGTTTTGTGCTGCTACCTCTTGTCAAACTCAGAAGGTGCTCTGTTAGATCACCAATTGAAAACTGGATCCCCATGATTACCTACATTTTACCAGAATGAAAATGCTTATATCATTTATGAAATATAAAATAACCAAAGTAGAACTCATAAAGTTCCTAAATAGAGACATTTGAAAAGGTCACCTGAAAATTTACATGTAAAAGATTAACAGTTCATGGTGACAAAATTGCATGTTACAGCTTAACTCTGTTTTTACTTATGTTCATTCAATTATCAAATTTAACCAATTCAAAAAATGAATAAAT